TTAAATCAAGAATATGGAATTTTAGAATTTGAAATATTTTATAAATCAAGAAATTAATTAGGCATTTTTATAAATATACAAAAATAAGTTAATAATTTAAATAAAATTATTTAAAAAATAAGTATTAGTCCATAATAATAAGAAAGTTTATGACTTTCAAAGATTCATAGTGCATTCAGTTGTTCAGACAACTGTTGGAAATTTATTGATCAGCTTTCTGCACTTGATTTTCCTTGTTATGTAAGATAAAATATTATTTATCAATACTTAGAAAAAAGAATAAAAATAGTTCTTTAGTCTGGAAAAATAACTTATTTAATGGTAAAAACTTCATAAAAGAATATTTTTGCATATGCTAAATTAACCACACAGATCTATCAAAATTCCTACATGCACACGTATAAAATTAAGTATATTAACCTAATTACTATAAGATATGTCAGAATTACATTTCATTTAGTAAATAGAACTGTTACTTTTTAATAAATTTGTTTTAATTTATTAAAACAGATTTGTTATTTTAAAAAATATAAATATAATTTCTACACTTAAAAATAAATTATAAAAAATTAATATAATAGTAATATACAATCCATAGCTATCATTCGTTGATCTCATAAATCTTTCAAGAGATTAAAATAAATTGGATATACCTGTTTACGTCATATTTTAAGAATACTTTTATATGTTTACCCACTAGAAAAGCATTCACAAGACATAAAAAATAAAAGTATACTTTTGACTAGAAACTAACCTCAGGCGTTGTTAGAGGCAAAAGATAAACTCTCACAATGAAGTGCTAGTGGCTAATATACCTGATAAGGGAAAGCATTAACGTTAAATCGAACCCCGGGCCAAGTCATTATTTAGGTAGAAGTGTTCTTTGTATTTAATATGGTTAATAGCCTATATTTTGTATGACATCTGGCAGCGCATGTGCATTGTTTATCGGGTATTACGACACTCGATTGACACTCATATATCCTGTGGTATTTTCTCGATGATCATAATTATTTGAGTGCGTTGAACCTTATGGCTTGAGTAAATACTAAATGTTTATTGGTATTTTATTTTCAATGTTTGTTGTCTCTGCAGATTAATAAAATGGATGTTTATTGTCCAAAAACATCACAAAATTATGATTACCATAACGTTACTTTGGTGCAAATGTTTCTCGTTTATTAAATCTATTGGGAGGATGTTTGTTTGCACGATTGTTTTTGATTATTTATTCATTGGTAATGTCGATATTGCCTGTCGTTTACATAACTAGATATTAATGAGAGAAATATAATTATTTATTTTACTTTACTTTTAAGTATGTTTTTGTCAAGCCGAAAGTTCGATAATTAATCAAAAATTTCAAAAAATTAAACTTTACAGCAAAAGAAATTAAAAATAAATTTCCGCATTTCTAGAAACTAGATTTTTATAATCGATTTAAATATTAAAGTTGTCGTTTGATTAAAAATGAATAACTTCAATACGTAAATTAAGTCAATAGATAAAATTAATTATGTTTGAAAATTATTCCTCTATTTTATGATTATTACCATTTATTTCAGTTATAATAATAAATTAAAATTTGCAGTAAAATATCTTGTAATAATAAAATTTTTAATAGAGAATGAAAAAAAAATTCTTGCAACCTAGCAATTCATGAAAAAAAATTTATGAATTTCTAGGTTCTTCAATGAGCCTTTATAATTAATTATGAAATCTACATTAAAGAAGCTAATTTATTTATTTTAAGCATTGGAAATAATAGTTTTTCATTCCAGATAATATATAAATAAACTTCTGAGTTAAGAAATTAAGTCCATGAATAAATATATAAATATGTACTTTATATGAACTGTATAATATTCTAACCTTTATAGAGAAATGAAAATATTTTTGAAGGCGATACAAAGTTACAAAGTAGTTCATATTTATTTGTTTTCATACATTCAGTACTTCAGCTTAGCATATTCTCTACACAATTAATATATTATCGTATGTGATTATATATACTGACAAACACACACATCACAGAATTTTTTAGTTTAATATACACCGCATAAGGGACTTTTCTTGTTATAACTTAAATAATTTCTAACCTATCCGAGAAGCTTACAATCGAAATAATTTTATCTAATAAAAGTTGATGTAATTATATTAAAAATAACACATATTTAAACACATACTGCAACTAATAAATATGACATGTTATTTAAGAGACTTGCAGTTTTACATTAAAGTTTTACAGGTATATATTGTGTAATACCGGTATATTAAATTAACTATTTGTTTAAATGATAAATTTTAAAATACGACACAATGAATATATTAAATAACTGTATAGTACTTGTAATGCGAATATATTATTTATTAAATTCACCAAGAATGTAACAGAGTATTATAAACAAATTAATATAAAATTTTAATTTTGGTAATGTATTTTGAGGATTGTTTTCTGTTGAAGGGAAACTAATTTGAAGTTCTGAACGAACTTTAAAGTGTGTTTAAGGAAAAACATAAAGTAATCCTTTAATTTAAAAATATATAAGATGTAATTTAGAATGTTATGAAAGTAAACAAATGCTTTTCCAATGTTCATTTCAGAAAAATTGAATAAAATTAAAATCACAAATAAAAAAATGTTTCCTGATATTGCAATCATCAGTAAATATTTGAGAGAAAACAGATTTAAACAGAGCAAAGATTTAGGGTTTCTTTCTTTTAAATAAAGTACATAGTTTTTTTTCTTCGTTTTTAATTGTTTATTTAGACTTGTAGGCTTAATATACTGTACATTGTCACTAAATGTTTCTATACAGAACACATTGTATACACGAGTTGTTGTACAGTACATATCTGTGGTCCCCAAACTAATGCCCCCGGGGCAAATTTAGTCCGTGAACATATTGATACATAAAAGAATAAGGCCTACTTTTTATATATTTGGACTAATTCTATATAATATTTATGGCCCTCCTACCTACGATTCATTTACAATTTGGCTTACCACTACTTTATATCAAATGCTTATGTTTACGAGTTATGAAATCGCAGGAACAAATTATTTGTCTTGTAAAAAATAGGATTTTATGAGAAATATTTTGCTAAACTTTGGCATATTATTTTAAAAAATTGTAATACAAATTCATGTTAAAGATTATAACACTACGTCGTTATACTTATATATATATATATACGCAATATTTACGAAAATTATACGAAATATATATATATATATTTCGAGCTTTCGCTATTCTAAAATTTAATCGAAAATCTGCAATGCTTAAATTATTAACAACGGCACTTTCAATCGAAATAATCGCCATGTTTTTAAGTCTTTGTTGACTCATTATAGATCTTAAATAGTTTTTAATTACAGGTATACCTCGACTTACGTCGTTTCGAGTTACGTCGTTCCCGATTATACGTCGCTTGTTAAAAAAGTATATGGAAAAATAAAAATCAAGTTTAAGTCATTTTATTCGACTTTACGTCTGTCCGCCACAAATATTGAAGTCGTAATATCACTAGATAAACGTTTAAAGCACATAAAATCATATTAAAATATATACAAGTATGTACTGTATTTACAGTACATGCATTCGTAAATTTAGATTACTTTTTTTGTACTATATTAAAAACTAAAATTTATTTGTTTGTAAGCTTAAAATAGATTTTTATTAACCATATATTATTAAAAATGCATTAATAAATAAAATAAAGAACCGGGAATGGTAATTTACGGTTTAGCCTAGTGATAAGTAGATTCAGAGACAAGTAAATTCGACTTACGCCATTTTTCGACTTACGTCGTTCTCCTGGAACCAATTACTGACGTAAGGCGAGGTATACCTGTATTTTAATCTTGGAAATGCTTCGTTTCGAAGCAGCAACTGTAATGGGCAATGTTAATGATTCTTAATGCGATAAATGTATTTACATAAATTTCATTCAAATTGTTTTTGAAAAATGAAATTCAAACATTTCTCTGGATCCAAATATTCGTTTAGCTGGGATGCAAGGGATTTCAGTTTTAACTCTAATTCTTCTTCGGAAATGTATCGTTTATTTTCATCTGTTAATTTTTTTCTAAATTTTCACAAGATGTCTCTAAATCTTCATCTGATGTAAAATAAATATTTTTTATGTTGAACAAAAACTTGAAATGTTCAATACCAGTTTGAAATGTTTTAAATTGTTCTTCCAAAGAAATAAGAGGACAAATAAACATTTTATCACAAATTTCTTTTTCGTATTTCTGAATCTGGCTTAAATTTTCTTCGACGTTTTCCTCATAATCAAAAAACTTTTTCTTTTCCGTCGTCGTCTCAAACTTTCTCTGGAAAAATCAAACTCGTTTTTCGCATTTAAAATACCAGCAAGTTTTTTTTTGCAATTGAATCAAATTTATTTTGATTGCAGTTTTCCTTCAAAAAGTTGATTGTTCGTTTTAGCGATTCTAATCTTTCTGAAATATTTGTTAAAAGGGATTGAAGTTGTTTACTGCATATATTGACTTCAAACAAGATGCCATAACAAATTATAATTGAACATAAAAATTTTGACTTTTGATGTGATGGATTCACCTGTAATTTATGTGATTACATCATTAGATTTTTTGCAACGTCTTGTAATGCTTCATAAATTTTAGGTAATTCAAATCTTAGAATCTTAACGGCATTAATATGATTTTCCCATTGTGTATCATTTAATGATTTGACTGTAAATGATGAACACTTAGATTGTAAGATGCCCCATCTTTTCGTAGAAGCTGAGAAAAATTTAAAAACCTTATTCAAAAAATTTAAAAGCCTTGTTCAACTGTGCGCTGAATCAACTCCCAGTAAATTCAAAGTGTGATTGAGGCATGGAATGTACATTGCTCGTGGATTTTTTTTAAATGTAGGCTTGAACGCCATTTCAAATACCTTTTATGTTGGCACCATTGTAATAACTGACCCCTGATGTTCTCTACTGATAAATTATATTTTTCCAGTGAATCAATGATGGCGTGCGTCAATTCCTGTTGAACCTTCGACTAAATGAAATCCAAGAAAACTTTGATTGATTTGAATATTATTATTCGGATTCACGTCAACATATCGAACTATAACTGACATTTGTTCCTGATGGCTTGTGTCTGTTGTACAGTCAACGATCAATGCATAATAATTAGAATCTTGCACTTTATTCAAAATTTTACTTTTAATGCTCTGTCCGATCAGTTCCAAAATTTCATTTTGAATGGTTTTTCCTAAATAGTGAACAGAATTCGGTTTTTTCTTAGCCCTCATTAAATGTTTTTCCATAACTAGATCAAATTCAGCTAAGAATTCCAAAATTTTCAAAAAATTCCCATTATTTTCTTCATAAACTTTATCTGAAGAACCTCTAAATGGAATATTTTGTTGTGCCATTATCATCGTCAATGCAATCAATCTTCTTAAAACCTTATCCCAATGTTCCACTTCTTTTTGCAAACTTTTATTCATCAAACTCTCCACTGATATTGCTGTTTGCAATCGATTTTTCTATTCCACCCAATTGCTAAAGCTATCAAAATGTTCAACACTTTGCTCGTATCTTTTTAAAATTTGAGAAATGTGTCGCCAGTCATTGATACCGTTTCGAGCCAACATGACTGTAATCGAACCAAATATTTTACAACAATAACAAAAGGCTTTATCAGCCGTTTTCGAATAAACTAACCACGATTTTTGAATGCGTTCACTATTTTCTATGATTCGGTGAAAATATTGATTAGAGAAACATAAATTTTAGAGTTTTTAAAATATTGATTGAAATTATTTTATTATTATACAAATGTTTTATTGTATTAAGAAAAAATCTTGTTACAGGGGGATTACAATAAAAGTTACATACAAAAAAAGTTAGTACATTTTCATACTTTATCAAATATCTGTTATCATAATAAAAAACCCAAAGTTCATAACATATAAATTTCTCAATTCACAACATCTTGTTTTAACATTTTTAAAANCTCTATTTCTATATAAAATTACAGCATTTCTAGTTTTAAAGACATCTGATTTGACTCTTTGACGGAGGCATCAGCATACTCCAAACTAAACAACTGACCACAATTTCGCTTGTTACGGACGGGAATGATCCACAATAAGGTCGAACAGCATAGATGAGCGATAGAAAATGACACTCCAATCCAACCAGACTTTTCCACGATAAATTATGAAAACTGGTTCGGATGCAAACGTGGATTTCTCACAGAATATGATGATATCGTACGATACATTTCAATTTTAAATGAAGATAAGTATATTTTAATTTCAAATGTACTTATTGCACATTTGAATTAAAATACGATTCTTTCATTCGATATAATTAAAAGAAACTATGAATGAATAGAAGTAAAATTAACCTTTGTTTAAGTTTGTAATAAATATATTTTTTTAATCTGTCTTATTTATTAATGACACAAGTGTGAAACAATTTCGTGTATCGTTAGGCCTATATATAAATCACTTGCTATTTTTTAAAAATTTGATGAATATATTTAACAATAGCTGAAGCCAATAATATATTAATTTTATCTATCAATATATATCTGAATGAAACATATTTTCAGATATAATAGAAGAAATCAGTTAATTATTTTTAATTCAATAAATGTAATTTTTGAAGTGTCATCCGAGATATTGAATTCGATCATTCATTAGGCAATATGTATAAAAATATTTAAATTATTAATATTTTTCTTATAATTCCTCATTCTTGAAAATAACAATATTATATAATTGGGATGCAATTTGAAAGAAATGTAGACCTGTAAATTTTCATTATCGTCCGTTTGTCGGTTTTCTTTCCTTAATCTCTAAAAAGGTGTTAGATGAAAGTTGAGAAAAGATATGGAAAGCTTAGGAGGTAGGAGGCCCCTATTAATTATATACGAACTTCCGGTCTAGAACGGAAATTACGTGATTTTAATTTAAAAATTTCGCCCAAATAGAGTTGTATAGTTTCTTGGCATGACTGTTGTTATCAGGAAAAGTATGATGTACAGAGGCAAGACACTAGTAATTTGAGATGGAGAGCATACTTTTTAATTAAATAAATTAAAAGTATGATTAAAAATTGCTGCCCGATAATTTTTGTTCGTTCTACATAAATTTAATCTGCATAGAAATAATTTAATAATTATTAGATTAATTAGCAACGAAGCATCTTCAAAAAGATTTTTTAGATTAAAACTTAAAAATGACTTAATTTTCTTATTTGAATTGTTTCAATTGCATATTTTTTAAAAATTAAAATCGTTCTCATAAAAAATAACCATAATAATTATATCAAAAACTAAGAGTAACATGATATCTTGAATATATCAATCTTAATAGATTTGTAATTTAAATTATATAATGTCCGTTTAATGTTATTTACATTACGGAAATTTTTGCTATAAAAATATTTTTAGGAGCTAAATACCTCTCAACATATAAATTCTATTGTTTGACCTTAATTTTACTTATTTCGTACCGAAACAATGTCAGTTTCTTTCATTTTATTATTCTAATCTTTCGGAAAACCTGTAATTTCTCTCGAATCGTGCTCGCTACACAAATAGACATAAAATATTACGTCTATGACTGTGAACATCCGGTGATAAATTTAAATTACTAGGCCAATTTCAATGAAATCTAGGTGAATGACTGCGAGATAGGAAATGAAATTCAGAAATTTGCGTGTGCATTAATTCATTCGTGTTTTCGTACGTTGAACTAGATTCATTTTCATGTAGAACAGTATTTATTCTCGTAAGAATTAGTTTGCAAACAAAACAGAAACTTAACAGAAGCGTGAATTATTGAAATAATCATAATTTAACTCATGCAGAAATTATATTTACAATAAAAGAAAAACAAATAAATATATGCATTCGGTATATAAATAAAAGTTAAAAATCCGAAATTTAAACAACTTACATCTTCGCTACATTTATAAAATATTTATTTAATATTTTTTTTTTTAAAGAATGTTATATTTTGAAGCAATGAATAATTCTTGTTCTTTTTTCATGCAAATATTATTAACTTTTACTTTAATCTTAAGTAAGAACCGAAAATCCTTTTGTCATTTTTATGGTAATTGTACTAATGCTTGGCTGCTCATTTTATTCATAACTTAATCATTATTCATCTTGATACTTTTTCCTGTCCCTTTTATCAAAGTTCTTTTACGTCTGGTATAGAAAAATAAAATTTTCAATATTATAAACTACGTTATTTTAACAAGATTACATATAATATTTGAGTAATATGGTTAGCATATAATGATTTTATTAGAAAAATTAGGATTCAAATTTATTAAATATTCTACATAATGTTTATTCGTATTTTCTAACTCAAGCCAATCTTTATTTTGAAAATTATATTTAAATCTAAATATCAATTCTCTTTTAAGTGTTTTTCTTTTGTTCTTAAAAGTAAATTATATCTTTGTCTTTACAGGGCATTTCAGATGTCGATGGAGGTCCAGACCATTTACCCTTTGGAGTTCACAGTATCTTCAAAAAACCAAAATTAGCAGTAAGAAGTTGTTTCAACGTTTTATATATTATTTCACGTACACCTTGTTTATAAATAGGATTTATTATATTGATGTAGTTTCGAAATTAGCAAAAGGAGGAAAATTTAGTCAAAAATAAGACAAAATATATTTATTTTCACAGGTGAAAATAAAGGAATACACCATACTGATATAGGACTTATTATACTATTATATTATTATTATAAGCCATATTTATAAACAAGGTCTACGTGGATAATATATAAACAAAATTGAAATATTTAAGGACATAGAGACACAAATAATTAAAAAATTGTATTTTAAATAATAAAAAACTTTGACAAAAATAGAGGTTTTTTTTCTTAATATACAAGAAATGCAATGGAATGAATCATTTGTAATAAATATTTATGAGATCCTTGTAAATATGAGGCTTTAGCAAAAATGTCATACTAGCTACAGCGAGAGAAGGCCTGTGATTTTTTCTAACCGAATATTTTGTTCTTGTTGTATGTGAATTATATCTCCACATTTTAATTTAAAAATGTGTAATTATATTCAAATGAAATTTTCATTTTTTCAGTATTATTTTTGTGTTCTAGTTTATTATTTAGGGTATTTAATTGTGTTATTTTTACCTTAAATTATGTGTATTTGTTATTTAAGTTTATCAAAATGAGGCATGGGAAATGTTTAAGTCTGGGAACGGATTAATTCACATTCCATTTTTTGTAATAGGAAGAAATGATTCGGACTTAGAACGATTCAAAGTTTAAACGACCTGAAACGAATTAAATTCGAAATACGAGACCCCACCGCATATTTTAATAACAAAGAGTTAAATGAANACTTAAAAGTTTTATAAACTGACAACTTGAATCAAAAAGCAAATCTTTACAAAACACAATTTAATAAATTCTAGAATTGATAAGATATTTCTAGTTTGCATCATGTCTTTTTACATTGGTCCACTCTTTTTCCGTTATTGAACCAATTACTGTACTAAAATATATTGTAAATAAATAACATAGATGAAAAATATTCAAAAATCAATTGTTAGTCCTTAATATATGAATATTTTTAATCAAAAAATAACAAATATCAATAAGACAAACACATTAAATAAAAATAAGAAATTTAGTCTTAGCTTTTTCATATTAAATTCTTTCAAACAAAAAGATGATTTTTTTTAATTAGCGTACTTTAAGAATATAGAGTAACAATTTATAAATTATTCACTTTTACCAAAACCTTCTTCTCTTGGACAGTAAAAGTAAAATAATTGGTGCTATTTATATGATGCATTAAAGTTCTTTCTGCCAATTTGATTCTCTTTTCTCCATTTCTGACAACTAATGGTGTCTGATACATGCATAACCTTTTCTTCCATATCTCACAAGAATCTCTTTAACTCACTCGAGAATCTTTTGATCAAAAACGTAGGCTATTACAACAGTTATCACAGCTGTATTTTGGTAACTTTAATACAAAATAATTAACTGTAATTTATATGTATATTTTGTATAGAATCAATGTAGTTCTTTTAACATTAATGTTGATTTTTGTTGTAAGATAAATATATGATAATTACGAGAAAGATATTTTTAGATATAATATTCTGTTATTATTTTAATCCTATTAAGTAATTATTGAAAATAAAAACGGAAGATAATGCTAAATAGGTGAGAAAAATTTTCTAGGGCGAGATATTATTATTTTTCCTACAATATCAAATTATTATAGAATATTCTCTTAATTACAATGTAATGTACAGTACAAAAAGTCTAATGTTAAGATATTAGCTTTATATTTACAAATAGCTCTCATTAGTGGATCATTCAAGAAATTCTCTCTATTATACTTACATTCTTTCTTATAATTAAATTTATGATTATTGATTTCAAACATTTTCTTTCTTTTTTCACTCTAACCATGACTGCCTCTGAAACGTTTA